CTTGAACTTTGATTAAGGTTTTTAACCAGATAACATTGTGAGAGCAAGGAGTCAATGACAATGGAGTTAAGAGATACAGAAAATTAAGCCTTATCTGAGGTAATGCTAAAACTGTTCACAACACGTAACATTACACAGGCAAATGGATTGGCTTGAAGTGTTTACAGTAGCAATTTTCATCTCTCAACCCCGTTTCTGAAAAGCACGCACAGCTTACATTCATACAAGATTCACGCACCTTTAAAAAAAAAAAAGCACAACCAAAAATCACAATTTATTTCTCCCTGTATAGTGTTGTACAATAATTGCAGGCTGCCATCTCAGAGTCCTGCACCGCACATATCACTTACAAACCCCACCAAACCCAGGTGCTATGGTGGCACGGCAAGTTCAGTGACAGCTAACCTGGCATCCATGCGGACCGCTGCCTTTGGCTCTGTCTGTCCCACTTTGCTACCTACCCATTTCCCCACTTGCCTACCTAGCTCTGACCACCCCGTCAGTCAAAGCCTGATGACTACCTGACCCCAGACTGATAACCCAAAGCTTTAACCAAGAAAGACTGGGGGGAGCAGCGAGTTGATTAGAATTCTTAAGCAGTTCAGCACATAAGCCCTGCGGCCTTCAATGGGATTTCTGTGCCTAAATCACTCATATGCATGTGAAGTCTTCCCTCATGACTCTGTTGTCTGGAAAAAAATCGTATTTTCACAGAAAAAAAAAAAAAGCAATCCTAAGCAATACTTAGTTGCTCACCCAGTTTTACGCACTGCAGAAAACGGCTGCACTTCTTTTTCTTTGCTTCAGTATAGATTCCCAAAGCATCATTCAAATCACTTTTTCTGCAAAAAAGCTGGACTAGGAGCAGACATTTCAGACAACCTAGTAATGCAGAAATTAAGGTCAGATGACAAAGAGCTAGTGGGTAAAAAGAATCAGCAGAGCGATCACTGAAGAATTTTTATTATAATTTACCTAAAGTTGATGCCTCGGTCCCCTTACCCAACAACAAGCAGAAGAGCACTATGCCAGCTGCTAGGAAGAAAATGAACTCGATCCCAGCCGAAACAAGGACAGGGAAGAAGAAGAAAAAAAAAAACCACAATAAGGAAACGACACCACTGACCTAACTATACCTGTAATGAATGTAAAACGTAAGAGACGTTTACCAACAGGATTGCAGCATGCAAGTGACTAAGGAAAAAAAAAAGGAAGTAAAGCCAGATGACAAAGGTTGGCTAATTTACTTCTGATGTCATATTCCTGCAGGGAAGCATGACAAATTCTTACCCATCAATTAGTTGTCTTTTTGCCCTACGAAGAAAGGACAAAAAAGGAGGGGCAGAAAGCAATCCAGATCACACATGCCCGCGGCAGATAGTTACGCAATGCTGATGTACCGCCTGCTCTTTGCTCACAGCGCTTGCTTTGCTGCAATTCCAAGCACCAGCTTTTTAGCACTTGCCCGGTTTGAACATTTTTAAACTGCTTTTTGAATAAAATGCAGACGCACGAGAAAGAGTAAGCACTGAAGCTTCCCTCTGCATCTATTTCTAACAGGGATAAAAAAAACCAAGAGAAGCTGAGGGCTAGCTTTATGATCAGGCATTTTCTGTTTCATAAGAAGTCATAAAACTGCCTTGCTGTGCTAAAGCTTAAAACTAAACTGCTTGCCATTCTTGAAGTCTTTTAAAAAGTTTAACTCACTTGAAGAAACCACAAATAAAGAGAGGCAGCAGTGAGATAGCTCCTTCAACTCCACTGACGCACTACTGTCACTGCCAGGAACAGAAATCCAAGTCAGTAATTCTTTCGATAATAATGTAAGCCTATAATTCTTTCTATTTAAAAGAGAACTTCCCCTGAACAGAGCAAAACAGATAAGTCAGAAGTAAAGGCAGAATGGGGTAAAATTGGAAAAAAAAAAAAAAAAAGTGTCTGCAATTATTCATGGAAAAAAAAATACAGTGAGCATAGGAGAACTGGTCAGATTTCATAAGCTTAGCACTAGGGAGTGCGACATTCACAAAACTAATGCGACATTAGCCACGTTAAGCCGTATTTCTCTTCTATATTTTGTCCTTAAAAATTAGGACACGACCACGAAATCTGCAATAATTTATTGCTTACTACCTATCACAGCCATTATGTAAGTAAATACATCATAACACTTAAGATCACGTGCTTGAATACTCAGGTGCTAATTAAGTATATTTGCAACTGCCTTGTTCCTTCCATCCTCTGACCCAACACAATCAGTAAGTAAATAACATTACAAAAATCAGTAAGTAAATAACATTACAAAAATCTCAATGTCTAGCAGTCAGATACAACAGGGAGAAGATAAAACAACAAGCTCTTTTCTATGGGACAGTAATCAATAAGGTCATATTTTAAACTCTGGAGTACAGAGATTAAGATAGCACTTTCATTGTGATTTACAACAAATTCAATGGAACTTCATGTGACAGAACCATGATGACTTCAGACAACACTTCCGTAACAAAATTCAGTGATGCAAATTGACTGCAAAGTTTAACATACATAGGGAACTGACCAGGCTAACTCCTGCTGTCAAATATTAAGGTTAGCCCTTTTGGAAGCCTGCACCAAAAAGCAATTACCCAAAGTCTGGCACCAGTACCATTGCTGGAAGTTCCTAATCACATGTAACATAAAAATATTAGAGGGAAATTATTTCTTTGTTCCATCTTAGCGTGTTTTTTTCTACCCCTTTGAGTAATGGAATTAAAATTTCCCTTCTGTTTGTCTGAACTTTAACAGCATATACTTCTAAGGCCTTTTAAAACATACCCAGGTTACTTCAGGCCTCAGGGAGGATAGTGTTTGCAGGCTCTTAAGAAAACGCTCAGCCAGCATTTTCGTTCTCCGTTGGGAAGGAGGAGGAATGACTTTAGGACTTCTGCTGATTCCAAGTTATGATAGCGTGGCGCAGGAAGAGAAGCGGACTGGAAAGCAACGACCCGTAAAGCACCGTAAAGGCAACCCACTAGCACCCCTAAAGGCACACATCACTCCTGAGAAGTCAGGGGGTGCTAGGTGTGTTTGTCAGCTATAGGATTATTACAAGGGGTTTCCTATTACATTTTTTTTTTTTTTTTTATCATAACCTAGGCAGAATCTGAATGTAAGTATCAGCATTTAGTTCTACATATGCAGAGAAGTAAATGCAATTACTTCTGTGGACATTGCTTTCACTGCTCAAGCCGTAAAACACAAACAGCAAGATAAATAATTCAGGATTTAGCAGGACGATTGTAGTAGAAATCTGAATTACAGAGAGCAGCAAAGACTTCAGACTTCTGGAGTACAGCCTCAGACACACAGCCAAGCCATGAAGTACATGAAACTGGAGGATAAAATTGAAACTTCTGAGGAGGCTGACTGAACCGAAGTAATTTTTTTGCAAGCAGTAATCAGAAGAGCTTACGTATTTCAAGTACAATTGACATTAAGCTAATGACTGCGAGATTAGCATAACTGACGCTAAACTAACGACTGCCAGAAACCAGCAGTACGATCAATTCGGGCAGGAGGGGGAAAAAAGAAAACAAAAAAAAAAAACCCAAAACAATCTTTGCATCCTGAACGATTACTTCTGCGGTCAAGTTTAGGAAGGAAAGGACGGGCGTTTAAACTGGACTCGACGGCCTGAAAGGCTGAGCTTTGGCCAGCGAGGGTGGTCATGGGCGTAGGGGCCTGCGTGCCCGCGCACACACGCAGAGGGGCTCGCGGAGGGTCAGCCTTCGGCCTCTTACCCTCCCCCTGCACCTCATCTTCCTCAGTAAGCCAGCATACACGTGGATGTGTGCGTGTGTGTGTGTGTGCGTGCGTGTGTATACGCACACCGGCTTAAAGATGACAACACACATACGCACATTACGCCCTACCCCTGTGCCAGCCAGCTAGGAACTGCTAAAAATAAGGCGGTTTCAGAGCAGAAACGCCGCTTCACTCCCGGGCGGGCGCTAACCAGACGCAGCCGACCCTACCCCTTCCCTAGCTCCGCGGGAAACCCTGTCCCGCTTCGGCTACGCTCTCCGGAGAGGCCCCGCCGCCCCCCCACCCGC